ATTCCTCTGGATTTTATTTGGGAAGGTTTATCCATGTGTACTGTACGACTTATGTTCGGTTCTGTTATAAAAAAAAAAGTCTACATATCTTGTTCATATATTTTTGTGCATTCTGTATTTTGACGTTTAAACCTAATAAAAATTTAAAAAAAATATATATATATATAGTATTAGTATTAAGTTAAATATTATTTTCCTTCTATTTGTTAGCCTTTGTGTTTGTTGTTCTTCTATTATGTTCCTCCCTCATGTGGGAGGCTTAGGGCAGTCCACCCCTATTTAAGCAGCCTTGGATCTGTGTCTGGAGGTCAGTTTATGCTTGTGTTTAGTTGCTGTTCAGTTGACCTCAGTTGAGTTATTTATTATCAGCGTTATATTGTATCGAAGTTTGACTTTTGGTTAACCATTTTGTACCACTTTCTCACTATTTAAGCTCTGTCAATTTTGCAATTTTGGCAGTAAAAAGGACATCAATCCTAAATCCTTCTCAGCCACAAAGAGACCCAAAAGTTGATTATAGAATTGTGATTTCAAGAAAGCTTCAGTTTGGAGTCAGAAACTCACCAGCATCCAATCACTGCATGTACGATTTGTAAATGCGGCAAGGACAAAAAGCATCAGAGCTGAACGCTGGAAACCCTTTTTACTTTTAAGTTTAAACTATTTTTCAATCCTGACACCTGTGTTGGCTTTCAAGCTTGTCTGCAAATTAAATGTCAGTTCCCCAAGTCAGTAGCTTTCACTCTGAACAAGGAAAGGCATGCATTATGTGAACAAACAAGGCTGAAGCGCACAGCAGCCAAGGATACATTTCTTGTCCTGTGGTGCAGCGAATTGTGTTTTTCTCCCCTCCCAGCTCAGGGATATGCCACTTGTAATTAATAAATATGAAGCAGGCCAGTGTTTTATTTTATTTTTAATTTGAAACATCTGAAGAGAGTTGGAGAAAGGATTCTCTCATTAGTATTTTAAGATGCACAGATATGCTGGATGATTCAAATACATTTGACATTAAAGCAACAGTGAGGGTGAAAGGACTTCATATGTAAACTGCATTATGCATTTCACAACATTTAATAATCACTAGAACTGAAAATAAAACTAGATTAGTTGGATGTATTGGCACAGGTGGCACTGAATCACCACAGAGTAACAAGTCAAATACACTTTTTGATACACTTGAAGCTGTCCAGAAAATGTAAAAAGCACGCCTGGGTTTCATACCCTCTGCCAAGGAATTAAATGAAGTTAAATAGCTTTTACTTATTTTATAATTAAAAAATTGCTTTTGTTTGCCCTGGAATAACCTATCTTGCCTGCCCTCTGTGACTGGCAGCACTAGAGAATGTGTTTTGCATTCATTTCTCCGCAGTGACAGATTTATGGGTTGATTCATTAAATCTGACCCAACTTGTTTAGGGTTGCCTATCCTCTGTGACTGGCAGCGCTTCATATGGCTCATTCCAAACCAGTCAAGCACGGTTAGCTCTTTAAGGGCATCCGAGGTTAAATGCAAAAGATGTTGAGGATATTAGCTAGCTCTCTCACGCTTCTTTGTCACTCTTGTTAATGTGTACAACCTTGCAATCCCCCATATTCGCTATCACAAATAGCAGCGGTGGGCCGTTAGGGCCTGCAAGGCCTTCTCTGCTGGCATGAGAACATTTCTGAATCACAGACTGATGTTAATTATATTTTGTCCATGAATACTTATTAAATATTTCCAAATGGTCTGTCAGCTTCCTTTCATAGCTTTTCTCCTGGTTGTGCTGCTAACAGACAGGTATTTTAATATCAAAGCATTTAACCAATCACATCACAGCCATCATTTGTTGCTAGGCAGGGTCAGAGTCAAAGATGGCTGCCAGGAGGCCTTCAAAAGCCGTTCTGCCCTCTAACACAAAATACATTTCAACTAAACTGTTGCTTTAACTAATCAGGTTTTAGGTTGGGGACACCAGGGCCTTCTAGAAGGCCTAAGGCAACGTCACCGTATTCACACCCGCTGATTGGATAGTCAGATAGCGCACCAGCCAAAGCTAGCAAACCAACCAATTTGGTTCGAAATAGGACGGTGCAGGCTGGACTTTCAGCGTTAGCTTCATTGGCGATAGAAAAGGACTTCCTGAAGCGCACGGATATCTGTAAGACAGAGTAATGGAAGTCTTTTTGAGGAAAGAGAGGAGGATGGATTTTTGCTTCAAATAATCCACATTTTTGATGAGTAAAATGTTGTTTTTTTCCTAAATAATATTGCGAGTTTATGAGGATATTATATATATGTTTTTTTAGGGGACGGGGGGGGTCGCAGCTGTAGTTGCAGTAGTAGAAGACTTGTGCACCCCTGATCTTTATACTGATATGATGATTTTTATAACCATAAAATAGTTATTGAGGGGTGAATTGATTCAGACGGAGCATTACTGAAGGTCTGCCACTGGAGGATACAGACGTTAGGTCCAGGTTCCTAATATGTCTCATGTTTGGGTGAGTTTTGGGGCCTTATGCCAGCGTCATATCAACATGTCAGATTTAGTCATGTCTTGTGTTTGTCTTCATGTTTATGCCAGAGAAACTTTAGAAATGTGGAGGGAGAGGAAAAAGCAAGAACAGTAGAAGAGTTACGAGCCAAGCTGTCCCATCCTTTATTGGACGTCAAATGAGACGGAACACTACTGAAGGCCCAGGTTTGAAAAAACGGTCCGCCACTGCACGCAGACAATCATTGAATTTGTCACAGACTACACTTGGATGGAAAGGTCACTGGAGCCCTCTGTGATGTGCACAGATATGGATCTTTATTATAAGTTACACTGACATCAAGA